AAGCTACTCTGTCATATGTGGAGCTAAACTACTGAAATACAAAAGGTTTAATTCATTGTCACAATATGTCAGCTGAAAGCATTAAAAAAAAATCTGCCTCAGGATGATTGTCTGTCAGGAGGTTTAATTCTCTTCCCCCCTCCACCCCAACTACTCCTCACACTGTGAGAAACTCCTGTTTTTCTTTAAGTGACAGAGAGAAACAAGAAAATATTTAAATCCTTGCATTTTGATACAGCGCCTTATCACGTCTTTGAGACGATCTCAAAGCGCTTCACACTATATACTGTAAAGTGAATTGACTGCATATTTTGTGGGCGAAACAGACAGCCCGGCAATATCCCCCAAGCAGTCATGAAGTGAGTGACCGATTCTATTTGGGGAATATGTTGCACCACAGAAGGAGGTCATTCTGTGAAAGAAAATGCAGCACTTTCCTAATGTGGATTTGTGCTGAGAGGACTTGCGCTTTGAGAGGTCTCAACGACGTGATAAGGAGCGATATCAAATGCAAGAATTATTGTTATTATAATATGAGCTCAGATCCTGATGTTGGCCTTGAACCCACAACATTCTGACTCAGAAACAAGAGCGCTATCTCCTGAGCCAGACTGACTCTTTAAATCTTAATGGACTCTTGTTTTGGGAATCCTGATCTCACTGTGGTGTTAGCAGCAATGCAGCCAAGAAGCCTCGGAGCTTCCAGCCACCATCCCTGGTGCATTTTGCTTAGCAATTGTGTCTGTGTCTACGTTTCAGTGAGAAGGTTTCTCGTTTCTGCTTCACTGTAATGCAATAGATTTCAAACTAGTTAACAACAGACAGGTTGCCCTGTAGGATTTATCATATTTTCTTCAATCGCTACCTGTAGAACCTTCTAATGAATAGAGAGGGAATGTGAAGCCTTGTTGCGGTTTTAAATCATCAGAATAATTACCTTTCCACAATTGTTTTCTTGACTCCTTGCTCAGTGTTCTGCATTTGCTATTGCACAGGGCAGTTTCCTTACTCCACACAGGGCCTAATAATAATCCCTCCAAAACCCAAAACAATAATAAATTGGTAATTTTCAACCTAGACTGCTGTGGACATTGCTGTGCGCAATAAATATACAGATCATTACAGTGTGTTCTGTGAAGCGCTTTGGGACGTCCTCCGGACGTGAAGAGCGCTATATCAAATGCAAGGATTTTTTTATTGCGCCTTATTTAAAAAAAAACAGTCAATCGATGTGTCCAGCTCACATTCTGGGCTGACACTCTAATGCATTGCTGGGGTTTGGGGACGTTGGGGTGTTGCATTATCAGAGGTGCTGTCATTTGAATAAGACGTAAAACCAAGGTCTTATCTGCCTCTTCAGATAGATATTAAACGTCCCGTGGCACGATTCGAAAATAGACAGAATGATAATATTACACAATGATAATAATATTAATCCTTGCATTTGATATAGTGTCGTCGAGACGTCTCAAAGTGCTTCACAGGATAATACCAATTACCTGTGTGTTTGGAACAAATAAACAGTCACTACACTTGACAGCAATGGCCTGTGAAGTGCTGGTGTCGCTTTAATGTTAAATGTGCTGAAAAATAGGTAAGGGTTATTTCCCAATCTCAATTCCGGATAATTGCCGCACTCCTACAACGAGGGGCAACGAGGCTCTATTGGTTCCTTGAACCTGTTGCGAAATGCTGCAGTGTCACGATGGGTGATCTGCATCAGAGGAGGGTGTGTGGACTTCAATAAACTCTCTCCTAAAGACCACAGCACAAATGCACATGAGGAAGTGCTGCATTTTCTTTCGGTACAGATTTTCTAAGGCAGCGGAAGGATGCCTATTTTGCGAGGAGGCTGTTGCAGCATTACATACTGTAGCTGCCATATTTCTGCTCCGATTTCAGAAAAGCGAGAGGACCCGGGTTTGATTCCCGGGCAGGGCGAAACGTTGGGAAATTTCCTTACTCCACACGCCTCTGCTTACCTAGCAGCAAGTAGGAACCTGGCTGTTAGTCGATTGCCGGATCACTTTTCAGGCGGTAATAAACCCTTCAAAAAAATTTTTTTAAAAAAAAAAATTATTTGGTCACTAAATCCACGACTGTTTGTGGGATGCTATTGTGTGCAATCGGCTGCTGCGTTTTGCCCACAAAATATACAGTCAATTCATTTTACAGTGTATCCTGTGAAGCGCTCGAAGACGCGATGAGGTGCCATTTCAAATGCAAGGATTACTATTCATAATAATCTCTGCATTTGATATAGCGTGGGCGAAACATAGCAGCACAACAGTGTCCCACAAACAGTGAGTGTCAAAATTTACTTGGGGGTTTGTTTGTTGGTCAGGACACCGGGAGAGAGAGAAATTCCCTCCTCGAATAGTGCCGTGGATCTTTACCCTCCAACCTGAACAGGCAGACGGGACCTCAGTTTAACTTCTCATCGTTTCACCTCTGACAATGCCGCTGTCCTCCAGCACTGCGCTGGAGCATCAGGGTGGACAACGAGTAAGTACCAAGTCCCTGATGTAGGAGTTAAACCCACAGCCTGTGACGAGGCGAGAGTGCCACTAACTAAGCCAGGTCCACTCAAGAGTTATTTCCCCTCCAGAAAACAAGCTATTTCTGTCTCCTTGCCAACAGAGTGGAGCAGCTGTTACTCATTATAATGAAGGTAATTTCTGTTGACATGAGGCCCCCGACACCATTATTTCACGGTTTCCTCCCACTTATCCAGCTTGTATTCCCTCCTCATTCAACTCCACCCAAAACAAATTAACCGACTGCTTATCTCATTGTTTGTTGGATTTTACTGGTGCAGATCAGCTGTTTGCCTGTAAAACGTTCGAGCCTGTTCCGCCATTTAATTAGATCACGGCTGATGTGTACCTCAACTAATCCTTTCAGTTCCAATTTCCCACCTTTCTCCCCATATCCCTTAATACCCTGACCTACCAAAAATCTTATCAACCTCACTCTTGAAGGTGTGGACGGATCCAGCATCCACGGCCTTTTTGGGGGAGAGAATTCCAGATCTCTAACACCCTTTGAGCGAAAAAATGCTTCCTGATTTCGCTCTTAAACGGCCTGGTTCTAATTTTAAGACTATGCCCCCTTGTTTTGGATTCCCCCACCAGAGGAAATTCTCCAGTCAGGAGGCTTGAATTTAGAGTTCTGTCTGAAACTGCCGTTATTTTTTCGGGAGTCAGTCAGCTGGAAGCTGTTAACAGGAATTCAAAACAATACAGTTTTCCCCAAACGCGTGCACAGGATTTGTGAAACTCCGCCCCTGTGGGTTTCACAAGTGTCCCAGGACTGTGAACCACACGATGTGACTCTATTGCTAATATTGAATAATACGAGACGTGATTTTGTGTTTGAGGAAGTTACAGCCCAGGTTTTTTCCGTGTTGCGATGCACCAACAACTTGCGTTTATATAGCGCCCCCTCACGCGTTCAGGGTAGCGTTCCAGAGTGCTCGACGGTGGCGGAGCACGGAGCCGAGGCGGGAAGAAGTGGGGAGGTGACTGTAGGCACGGTCGGGGAGGGAAGACCTCAGGCGCAATCTGAAGAAGGGGGAAGGAAAGGGCAAGGCGGAGGGATAGAGGAAGAGCATTCCAGAGTTTGGGGCCGTAGTGGCGGGAAGCGCGGCTTGAGGGGCAGCTAAATATAACTGCTCGCAGATAAGTTCTGGCTCTTGCTGCTGGTCTGAAAGCAAATCTCTTTCAGGCTCCAGTTAACCCTCAGCAGTTTACGTAAGTGAGTAAGCTGCAGATATGGCTAACACAGCAACAGCTGTTTAAATGGATGTTGAAGCCGCTGCATATCACAGACTTTTTCAACTCGGTGTTGCTGAGTTTAACTGTCAGCTGGGCCCCATTCCTCACTTGGGCGTGTGGGGGAGACTGATAAGAGTCGGCTTGGGGGTTGCTAAAGGGCCTGCGGGCCTGGAGACAAGGACAAGCATGAGCAGATCCACACAAAAAAAAAGGGAATTTGCTTTATTTAAACCCCTGGACTTTACACAGGTATTGGTGAACATTCGCTCTGGACACCATACTTGCCTGAGAGACGTACTTGGAGGAGTGGTGCGATTTAAAGTGTATATTTTTACATTTCTGATTTTTTCTGGACTGTTGACTGTTTATCAGAATGACAACTCTTGCGCCTTATCACGTCTTCGAGACGTCCCAAAGCGATTCACCGAGTATACTGAAAAGTGAATGGATTGCATATTTTGTGGGCCAAACACGTCAGCCAATTGCGCACAGCAGCGTCCCCACAAACAGTGGTGGATTGAGCGGCCAAATTATTATATTTTGTAAAACGCAGATTGCCCAACTTCTTTGTGGCTGATTGTGATGTTAAAAACTCAGAGACCAACTGTCAGATTAATGGAATCCTTTTAAACGGACCATAAAGCTTCCCTTGTGCAGGAATCTGTGAAACTATCAATAGAGCGCATTCAGATGATGGAGTGAGTGCGGCAGGACTTTGGTGTTCTGCTTCGCTATCGCTGCGCTGGCTGAAAAAAAAAGGTCTGCAGATTAAGCTTCTAATTACCGTACAGAGAGACTGTACATTTACCTGCTGGGCCTAAACCGTCCTCCAGCGCTGAAGGGATATAAATTGTGAATCTTGTTTAGAAAACGACAAACGAGAGCCGTTAACTTGCGGTCCTGTCTGTCCGTTCAGGCGGATGTTGGAAGGTTTCCGTGACACCCTTTGGAAAGAGAAGGGAGTTTCTCTTGGTGTCCTAGTCAGCAATCCTGCAGATGAATTCACTTCATCAGTGTGCGATCGTGTTGTGCGCAGATTGGCCTCCCGTGGTTGCCTAAACGTACAGTCACTATACTTTACAGCAATTAAGGGATCAATCGAGAAATATTCAATCAAGAAAATGTATATCGTTGGCCACCACTGATCTGTCAAGCACTTATTCTGTAATTGTTTCAAATAAAACTCGCCATTTGAGGTTAACCTACTTTCTCTCTGCTTCAGGTGGATGCTGTGGTTCAGATGACAAGCAGTACCTAATTGGTGGTTGGGCATGGGCCTGGTGGTGTGTCTCGCAGACACAGAGGTGAGATATCTTATAAATAACTCCACTTTCTAAATGTCTTCTTCAGCCATTTTGAATAATGTGTAATTGACGTCTTAAGAAATACCAGTTATTGCCGTTGGATATAAAACAACGACTCGCAAAACTCGGGTAACCACAGAAATTCACGTGTTTATGATTGTGTGTGTGCGCTGTGCTGATCCAGTGTTTGATGGAACATCGGATTCAAGTTCTTCTTTTTTTAAATTGCAATTGAGTGCAATTATTTCCTTCCACACTTAAGCTTCATAAGTGGGCAGACCTGTCTAATCCTTCACACAAAGTGCACACCACTGCTCTGAGTCAGCAGGTAGAGGGGGAAGACAAAACTTAAGCTGTGTAAAATTCTGCAAAGCAATACATTTGGAATCAGATGGTCTTTCCAGTGACCTTTTTTGGCTATAAGTGTAAATCTTGAAAGCACGGTACATGATGATTAGTTCCTCCAGAAAGGATTTGATTTATAATCAGCTGCAACTTATTTCCACCACTTTGTGTGAATACTGGATTAAACAAATGCCAATAAACTGCATTGTCTCTGTGTTTTTGGACTTGGTTTAAAAAACATGTGTTGGGCTGGAAATGTCTAGTGGTCCTTTCACATGAAAGTAGGATATAATAATAATTTTGAGGCCTACAAAATGCCTGGTCTTAAACATTTCTCAGATTTGTGTTATTAAATATTTGAGTTTGTTACCTTTAGATGAAACAAAATGCACACATATACTATTCATATGGTTATTAGCAAGGAATGGGATCACTGGAATCCAATGAATGTTTAACTCATCACCATGTGATTTAGAAATGGGCTGTTTTATCAGTTATTCTATCGATTGGTCAGAAAGCAGTGTCGATGTGAAATAGTCTGACCATTATCATCAGCATTGTAATGATTAAGAAGCTATGTTGATTTTGTTAAGATTCTTTGTGATTATAGTTTNAAAAAAACCTTAATCCAGTCAAAGCCAGGACGAAAACAAAATTTCCTTGAAGCTGACCTGGCTCAACCCTCTTTGGGAAACTTGCCAGACAGTGGTTTAAGTTGATTGAACTCCAGCAGTTACCCCCAACACTCTTTGGGGTTCCCAAAGCTTTGGTATTCACCAATTTGCATCCAATACGCTCCAGAATTATGTAAGCAGAGTGCATCCAACCAGCGGAGAGAGTGCCTATTCCATTTTAGACACAGGGAATATTCCATGTGTAGATAGAGTACATATGTGGAAGGAACCCTCCAGTTTGGATACTCTTAAGCTCAGTAATGGGTTTTCCACATGTGTCAGACACCTGGCTTACCAAAAAAAAAGGGAATTATTTCAAGGGGTCTTAAACCTGCAACTGAACTAGTAGATCAGACCTTGGTTCATTATATCAAGTCAGCACAAATTCAAGGTATTTTTCTAATTGTTGAAGCCAAACGTTTTGAGACGGGGAGAATCTGGGGTGCAAGTTTCCCAGCATATTTACACATTTCAACTCAGTCTGAGGGTTTTCTGAATTCCTCTTTGTGCACGTTTCAAAATGAGTGTTTATGGTGTGTGTTGTGAACCTTCTGTTGTGTCAGCTATCCGCTAAGACTACAAAAGGATCGATCTCTAGCTTGTAGAAAATTCTTCTCGCTGTGAGACATTGAGATGTTTAGTCACTCTCATTCTCTGAAAATCATTCTCTGAAAGCATCTGATGCTGAGCTCCATCAAATGAAAGTTTCCCTTCTATTACCACATGAGCCCCCCCCCCCCCCCCCACAACCACCACTAAATTGTTGCCAGGAAATTGACTGAGTTTTCCTCTTTCCCTCCCCTTATGGAGAGCTTCCAAGTATCTGTGGGTCACTGCTTCTTGGTGTACAAGGCAATAGACACGCAGCACTTAGCGTTTATGTATTAAGCTGAATAGCATATTGTTTCATTTTAAATCAGCTCTTTTTGTTAATCTGAAGAGGCTGCTATGAAATTCTACTACAATTTCAGTTCCATGGAATATAAAAGCAAAAGAGGTAATGCTAAATTGTAAGTTGGACCTCAGTTAGATTGTTCTGTCCAGTTATGGCCACCCAATTTAGGAAAGACATTAAGGCAATAGAGGGGATGCAGAGTGAGATTTACTAGGATGAAACCAGGGATGGATTCTTTTTCCGTTGGAACAACGAAGATTGAGAGGTAACCTGAGAGAGGTCTTCAAAATTATGAGGGATTTTGGTTGTCATTCAGGAGAAATGTTTTCCACTGGTCGGTGAGTCAGTGACTGGGGAGCGTCAGTTTAAGATAGTTAGCAAACAAGCCAATGGAGACTTTAGGATTCTTTTTCATGTACAGAGTGGAGGTGACGTGTCGAAGAGGAAGGTCTTCAGGTATGATCTGAAAAAAAGGGGAAAGGGGGCAAGGCGGAGGGATAGAGGGAGAGAGTTCCATAGTTTCAGGGCATTGAAGCTGAAAGTACGGCTGTTGATGGTGGAGCGAAGGGGACGAGGGATGTGCAGGAGGCCTGAGCCAGCCGAGCGGAGGCGGCAGGTAGTGGAGTGGGGAGAAGGCGGGTTGGAAAGATAGGGATGTGCCAGAGAGTGAAGTGATTTATAGATGAATGTGAGAATCTTGATGTTGATCCATTCTGTGATGGGGAGCTAGTGGAGCCTGGTAGATGAGTGTACGGAGTTTACAGCAGGCCAGTATATGGGAGACGGAGCTCTCAATTAATTGGATGTTGTGGAAAGTGGAGCTGGGGAGACTGGTGAGAGGGCGTTGGAACAGTTGTGACGGGAGGTGACGAAAGCATGGCCGAGGGTTTCAGCTACATTGGGCATGAGGGGAAAAAGGAATAAACTGCTGGGGTTTGGGGAAAAGGCAGGTAAATAAAACTGAAAGGATCGCTCTTAAAAGAGGCAGCATAGACATGATGGTTCAGATGGCCTTCTTCAGTGCTGTCAATTTCCATGGTTCTGTAGAATTATTTCTCCCACCCCTGATTTGAATTAACCTGATGCCCTTATCAAAATTTCTTTTAACTCATGAGGCAGTGGGGAATACTTTGTCATATTGATTTTGCCCCATTGAAAACAAAAGATAAAACAAAAGTCTTTTCACGTTCCTCTCCTCCCCCCTTGATCCCAACAGTCTCAGCTGGAAGCGTCCAGCAGAAGGCACGGTACTTTAATTGTTTCTATAATTCGCAGTTCAGTCAGCATCTCAAAAATTCTCAGTCCTACGTTTTTGCCTGGTGGTCAGTTTGTGTGAAGCATGACGATAACGGTCGTCGACAACGTTGGTGCAATTCCAGGGTCTAATTGACCGAGACTGACATGATTTGCAGAAATATATTGGCTCGGTGGAAATTGGAATCTTTAAAACATAAAATATAGCAGAACTACTGAAGTCAAACGTGTTGCTTTAGCGACTTTAACACTGCACTTTGTTCCAGTCCAGTTTAAACGTTCAAAGCAATGGGAGGTTTGGGTGGGTGGGAGGAGATGATGAGAGCGTGAATTGGATAACTTGAGAATTTTTTAGCCGCTGAATGCTAAATTGCGGATGTTTTCACTTGCTGTATTTGGCGAGAATATAATTTGACAGGTGCCTGAGACAAAGCTCTGGTGTCGCCGTCTTGATTGTTTCAGAACTTTACCTTTGATCACGTTGCATTCGACATCTCTTCACATGGCAAATGAGGTCTGCTCTTCATTTCCTTTGCACGCTGTTTCGACGATTGATTTTGTGATGGGCTTGTTGAGTGCCTTGCAGATGTTGAGTTGCTCAGCACTGATGGCACTGTTCATTTCAAACCATCTGCCGCGAACATTTGTCCTAAGAGTAAAAAATATGCTGGAAACTGTATGTGAGCTGAGAGGAGAGAGATTTGTGATTCTGGATGTTATAATGCAATTAATTGAAGAATGTAGAACTTATTTAACATTTGTAATATTCATTTGCTTCTTTTCTTCCCCATATCTTTGTAAAAGGTTTAATCCTTTCTTTCCTCCCCCCCCCAAATCGTTTTTTTTTTACTCGTTTTCACTAAGATGTTACTTTACTCGGTTTTCCAAATAATTGTGTTTGACATAGCGCCTGTTATGTAAGAAAAATGCTGCACAAGTAACTCCTTTCAAGTGAAGTGACTGTATTTGTATGCAAACATGGGAGTTTATACACAGCAAGATCCCACACACGGCAATGAGATGAATGACCAATTTATCTGGAAGATTGTTGGTGTGGACACCCTGAGAAATATCTTTTTCAGTAGCATTGTGGGGCTGCACTGGTCTGTCAGTCTGGACTATGTGATCAGCTGATTGCACGTCTTGAACACACAACTTTCTGACCCAGAGATGAGTGTCGTTTGCCAGTTGAGCAAGTCTTAAACCGTCAACAAAAACAGAAGTCGCTGGGAACACTCAGCAGGTCAGGCAGCATCTATGGAGAAAGGAAAGGGAGTCAATGTTTCGGGTCCACCACCCTTCGTCAGAACCCGAAATGTTGACTCACTTTCCTTTCTCCATAGACGCTGCCTGACCTGCTGAGCGTTCCCAGCGGCTTCTGTTTTTATTTTCAGACTTCCAGCATCTGCAGCATTTTGTGTTCTGTTAACACCATCGAATCAGTTTATCTTTTGGGGACTCGAAAAGGGACTCCTGTGGAGCTGAGCTCGCTGCTAGATTACATGATTGGCAAAAGAATGTCGGGTCAAGTCCGACCCTCGTAGCTCAATGCCCTCAACACAATGGGTCATGTTTGGGGAAAAACGGATGAAATTTTGATTGCTTGATGCCTTTATTTCAGTCGCTGTGAATGACTTGGCAGCACTGCTGGAAATTGTTAGCATTCTCAAGCGCTCAAACCAATTAAGGTTCAAAGTAACTCAGTCAAGGCCCTCAGACCAGAATGGTCTCTGGCGTGTGAACATTTTGAATATGTTGAGATAAAGAATTATTTTTGAGCAGGTTGCTTTCCTTACACCCTGTGATGTGTCCTTGAATGTGTAAAATTAGGA